CTTCTAAACACCTCACGTAATTAATGGACGGCCCCTTCTATTTAAAAAAATAAATAAAGTGTAAGTACACCTAAAATCATTTCCTTATTAAAAATTAAAAAAATCTAAGAACCTCCAAACTAAGACGTCCTGTATATAAACTATTGATAATCAATCCCGAGTGCGGCCGGTGAACGATAGTACACAAAGAAACCCAAACAGGTTTATGAATATACCGTATTATGTAATAAATTTTTTATTTTGTAGTTTTTAAAAAAAATATTATTAGATTATCGAAAACAGTTAAAAGTGCTCCGGAATGCCACAGGTAAAACGGGTACTTATTCATCCACACATCCACAGATATCGATATCAGGTATCCCGCTTATGCAAAAGATTGAAAGATAAGGAGAGAAAAGGCCGTATGGGTCAGCTAATAAAAATGTATTAATAGGTTTTTGTACCCTATTTTTAATTTATATATCTATTATTACACAAAACATAATATTATATATAATATATAAAAATTACATGTTATTAGGTCTTTACCCATAAAATTTCCGTTTTGTTGAACTGGGCACTTTGAACTGAAGTAGAGCTTGACTGGGGATTCTAAATTCTAATGGGTAGAATTTTAAATAGAAGCAACCTTGAGGTGAAGACATGGTGTAACATATATATACATACAAACATAAAAATGAAGTCGAATAGGAACCTCCACCTTTTTTGCAGTCCGTTAAAAAGCGGATACAGTGCAGTAGCTATATTAGTATTATAGTTGTAGCTCGAATGGAGGATCACACTCTCACAGAATACCGACCTAAACAACGTATCTGCATTTTAATTCGTAATCGAGGAAAGATGTATAGATGTCTATGGGCCACGGGCCACCTTATTCCACGGGCACGTGTCATCTGTCCATGTCTACAGCACAGTGTGGTTGGCGTTTAGCCATGTATATAAAGTTCTCCCAATTAGTTATATTTTTAATTTCTCGTAATAATATTATTCTTTTCATTCATGTCTCCAAATAATGATTTTGCGTTTGTCAATTTTTTTTTGTATTGGAAGCCAATTCCATTTCAAATGGTTTTCAATTACTCTATAACATTGTACAAGCCGGCTCTTTTAAACCCCGGATACACTAGGGGACATTTTGTCTCGCAACATGACGCGAAACACTCAATCTTGCATTTAGTGAGCCACAACATGGCCCGCAACATTTTACGTGACGCGAGACATGTTGCTTGTTCCCGCCCCGAGAGCGAGCGCACGTGTCCCGCATCAGTGTCGGCCCTTTGATACCGGGTGTAGTCGTGTGTCTTGCAAGTTGCAACATAGTTTAACAACGTGCAAGAAGTGTGGGGAAACAAAACCTTGCTTTTCATGTTTGTTGTGGGATACTTTAAACTTCTGGTACTAAGTACAAAAAGTGTACGACAAAAAAAAAGTGCAATGGCTATGCGACATTTCTATAAGCACTGACTAGTGTGGCCTGCAAATGTTCCGCGACATATGTCTCGGGACATTCCACGTAGTTGTTGAGCGACATGTTGCACAACATGCCGCTGCTTTTGTCCCCAAGTGTATCCAAGGCTTTAAACTTACTTACAACTTCATAGCAGTGGGATTCACAGAAATTATAAAAAAATTGACTTGTCTAATTATATAATAAAAAAAAATTTAAGAACAAAAAATAAATTAAAACTGTATGTAAAGGTAGGTAGATACATAAAGGCATATCACTGAAACAACGTCAATCAAAAAAGCTGATTCTGGTTAATTTTTTTATACTTTGTTTGAAAGATTAGAATTTTAATTAGTGATAAAGAACTATACATGTTATGAAATATAGAGAACTTCATAATTATTTGGATTTACGTAAAAGGTTATCTTAAATCTTGTGAGTACGCTTGTACATAGTTATTGCGAAATGATTAATGAGAATCGTCAAAAGGTATTTCTAAACGCCAAAACGTATAACCACTAGATTAGTCGGAACAAACATACTGACAATTTTTTTTGTTATGAGTACCGTATACTTTCACATGCATTTAGTAAAAAGCTGTTATTTTGATATTACAAACAGACACATCAATTTTATTTATTTGTATAGATAAAAGTGTGCAGGCTAAAGTGTATCGTATTTCCGTGAAAAGAAGTGTAAAGACGTTTATTGTGTTTCTTTGGCACATTTAAATTGTTATTCAACAAGGATTTGTTTTTCATAATCATTTCATAAAACACCCATTCTAACCAAAAAAGTACGCAGGCAAATTACACATTTCAAAAATTGAACATGTGACACTTTAATGTTATTTATTTGTATAGATAAAAGTGAAAGTACTCAATAGCAGGATAACAAAATAATTAATAGAATCACGCGTTACATTGCGGAAATCCATTATAATGGGGTTGTTATTAACTAATTTGCTTAATTCCGCGTAAAGAAAGAAAATAATGTGTCCTGCCCAGTTTTAAGGGGACCTCAAACCCTCCCTCAATCGCGCGCACTATACCCGTCGGTAGTGCTGGGATTCACGGCGACGGGTATAGTGCGCGCGATTGAGGGAGGGTGGGAGGTCCCCTTAAAACTGGGCAGGACACATCATTTTCTTTCTTTACGCGGAATTAAGCAAATTAGTTTATAACAAACCCAACAGAATAATTGGCAACAGTTTGTAATTAATCTAACAAGTTATTGAAAAATAATTCAAAAATAAATCTTTAATATTATCAATCTTTTTTTTTTGACATGACGAATGGGTGAAAAGTAAACAAGGATATCACAGAGAAGCAAGAAACATTGAGAAAATAAAAAAACGAGGGTTGTCAAACCGCCTGCTAAGTGTGGCAACTATGGCAACTATCCCCCTTATGAGACAATCTTTGGGGAGGCCTATGTCCAGCAGTGGACTTTGATAGGGTGTAATGAATATAGGAATGAATTTTTTGAAATTATATTGAAGCAACTATTTATTGACGTATATTATGATGTGCCAATTTAGTATCAAACGAATTCATTAGTTTGTCGACCAAGGCAATAAAATCATAGTCAGCTGAAATGGAAATAATTGAAACGATCGTACGCGAGACTGCCCTCCGTAGACAACGTAAACAAACACTGAAGTTTTATAGCTGAAGGATTTATTATAGCTCACATTACAGCCGGATACTGTTATGACTGGTATGTTTATTTGGCAAACAGCCCTCGGTGCCAGCGGCTGATTCGTAACTTCCAATAACAAGACGGGAATGTTGGGACAATTATAAATAACGTGTTTATGCGTAAGGCTGGTTTCATTTCGACCGTTTAATTAAAATGGCTAAGTGAGAGTTGTGAACGTGCAAGATATGGTTTTACCGCTACATTTACACATACCACGTGTTTATATACGCAATAATATTTAATAATTTTTTTGTTTAATTTTGAATGCTTAATTTATTTTATTAACATAGTCACAGATAATATGATGTAGAATATTTTCTGAAATAAAAAACATGCGTTAGTGTCGTGGAACACTCGGTTGGAACGAAGTTCCTTTCATAGTATATTATTATTGATAAACGTATTATATTATTGATTAACAAATACAAATAAACGAATGACTAGCGTCCATTAAAATTAAGCGTCATTTATAATAAAATAATATTCTTTCAAGGCAAGATAAGAAAAAGTGCAAGGAAGATGGATATTATTCCATCTCGCTTCCTTATAGCCGCAAAGCCCATCTACATTACGTCAGAAGGGCTCGTGACGAAAAAATCTTAAACTTTTTGTCGCCTAGCCCCCATCCGCCAAATTCGTACAGTCAGATAAAGAACTTCGTTCCAATAAATTGGCGTGCAGACTATCTTTTTTTTTTAAGTTAACTATCCTTAATTTTTATAGAATTAAAAGCAGCCTAGAACGCACTTTACACTATCTTCTACTTTTTCCTGAAAGTTCCATGTGTGTCGAGTGATGGAGTCTGGTATTGAAACACTAATAAAGGTAATTTAACGAATGTAGTTCGCTGATTGGTTATATACAAAGGTATTCTTTATCCAAATATGACGACAATAATCAAACATTTTTTTATGTAGACGAAACTTTCTTTAATTAATCAAATTTTAGTGAAATGGGTACATACTTGAATGTCTGTGTAAAAGCATATAATATCGTCTAAAATATATATATACATGTGAATGGATCACCTAATTCTGCATATTAATGGGTCATTACTTACATTGAACCCTACCGTTTTTAATTAATGGCGCGATACTCATATACAGACATGCTAATTAAGGTGTAGGATAAGAATAATTAGGCACCGTCGGCGTCTTTCCATCGGAAAACATGGGAATGTTTTCAATTATTTAATGCTATTTATTTTTTAAATTCAAATACGTAAACGTTTTATAAATATGCGTTTTATTATATAGTATAATTTTCACAAGGACAAAAATCTGACCCGGAGTTTGTATAATTCACAAAAATACTTGTTCCTTGCAGTAATTGAACCCGCTGCGATTCGAAGCGCCGCAACCAAACAGACATTGAGCTATCTAGCCATCAATTTTTTTTTGTTTGTCTAATAGTACCTATTTTTTTTTTCAATAATTACATAAAATATGTTATGGATCGATAGACGTATGGAATTATCTTAGAAATATGATGCATATTTATTTACCCATTAACTTATTACAACAACATATTTTTTTAATAAGCTAACACTTCTTAATTATGTTAGAAATATGATGCATTTTCATTTATTCATTAACGAATCCCAACAGTGACAGTAAATTGTATTTAGTACTTGAATGTACCTTCTGCGTAAGTTCACACAGATAACTTCTCTCGAGGCGCATAATATAAGTTTTATGTAAAAGGATAAACGGCCTCCACAATATTGGGGAAATGTTTGGTGTGTGGGTAATTTTTATCAAAGAAAAGTTTAGCCATAATATTTTTTCGTAATTATTCGGGATTATGTTTTAGGTTAATTAAACGGTACGTTACATACGAGCCAAAAGCTCACCTTTATGAACGGCGTCGAACCGGCTCTCGACTTTGGAGCGAAGCGTTTCCAAGTCAACCGGGGCAGCCAAACCATGGTCCACGGACCGACTCTTCGACCTGTAACATACCAATTACTAATTAAACATTTACAATTAAACTGGCCGTGTGGTGGAACCATCCCATAGGAGAATCCATCACCTCATTTAATCCGGTGCATGTCGTCAGAGGCGACGATGGGAAATACCAGAGAGGGCACAAGGCTCCCCTCATTTCTGAAGGTTTTAGGGCAAGGAAATGTCCGCCACGCTGCCCCAATGCGTGTTGGTGTACTTCACATGTCTTCGAAATATTTTTTTTCTTATTTCTTAGACATGCAGGTTTTCTCACGATGTTTTCCATCAACGCCGAGCACGTGGTAAATCAGCACTAAAATTTCAATTAACAATGTCATTGGTGTCGGCGGGGATCGAACCTGGGTTGCTCGGATACTGCGAAATTTATAGCGAGCGCTAAGCCCCTGAGCTACCACGGCTCCGATAGATGACTGTATGATAATTTTAGATGTAAAATACTCAGATAAGCGACGGAGAGCGGCTTCTAAAGTTCAAGAAAGGTGCGAAACAATTCGCGTGCCAAGCGTGACGCTTGAGGAAAATTTTCAGTGCAACGGAAAAGCCCTCTTTGCATCAGTGGAAAGAAAAGTAGTTATTTTAGGAGCGGATGATGTAGAAGAAGAATTAAAATGTGTTTGATCCTTTTAAAATTGAACTTTAATTTTCATGTCTAATGTCTATCTAACACAATTTTAAAGTTTCGGGAATGGTTTTAGGAAAATATTAATTGAAATAACGTTAATGCAATATTTGATCAACTTCAGAGACATTATCTAAGTTTTAGTGATAGTTTAATTGGTTATGGGCCAAGAGTGGTATAAACAAATTTGTAGGGATCCTGATGATGCATGTAATGAAATAAATACTTAAAGATACAGTAAACAAATGTCTCTGCGAAACAGTTGCTTGACCTGTCGTGATTACAGATGACGTTGCACAGTAAATTACAGTGTCAGTGTACTGATAATTGCTCGATACTAAAAACAAATGCTCGAAATAACTTCGGATGAGCACACCGAATGTATTCCACACGGAAAATACCAGGATGATGTTTCCATTTCAATAACTTTCAAACAGACAAATCGCGATAAAATTATTTATTAATAAGACGTACCAGAAGGAGAGTAATTATGACATATTAAATATAATTTTATTAGTCTGATGAATAGATTAACAATGGAGCCAAATATCCAAAAAAATACTTATTGAAATATTTTTCCTATGTAACAACAGCGTTCATGTTCGAACCCGTACCCGTACCTGTACTCGTAATTCAATGCGATACACATGCTGGTAACTACGTACTTACTGACTTTTGATATTAATTTTCTATCATAGCAGTTCTGTAAACAATTCTCTTTGGACATGCTAGATGCCACACTCATGAAAGTCGTCATAACTGGTGAGGAAAAATAGGTTTATGCAATTTGAGATGGAGGACAAAATTAAGCCGAAACCGAAAAACCCAAGTCAAAAATGTCCAGGTGTTTTCTTCGCCTATTAGTGATTCCATCGTGAACTACTTTTAGAAAAACAGAATGTCAATAAAAACAAGTCTGGCCATAAATAATGTTACTTGATTCAAATTTGGAATGCGTAATATAAGAGTGAGCCTAATAAGAAACTTTGCTCGATTTGCCGCCATTTCGCATATTATTTTTTAACGTGATTGTAAAATTAGATACATTATGGAAATAGGTATCAAAGAAAATGAAATTGCAGTGACTGCTTTACGTAAAGTGGGTATAGAGCAGTCAGTCCTTTTTAAACGCTTCAAAAGCTAGGCATCAGTCGTATGTTTGTGTATCGTACTATCGACAAGACACCAACCATTCCTCTGTTGAAGACATTAAAAGATCAAGGGGACCCCGTGCTCTTAGAAGCAGACGGGCTGTGAACGAAATTTAAGGATGTGAAATGAAAACTCATTCACAAAGATCATTTCCTGAAAGTTTATTCTAACAAGGTCTAAGAATGCTGACTGTCGACATTGATGACATACCACAAATCATTCTCTGCAGTTTGAGATGCTTTCAGCTCTAAAGAAACCTCGCAACTTCTTGGAAAAGTTCAACCGCAGTGTCAGTCGAGACTTCGACAAAAGTTTATCACGACACTGAGTTCAATCGTGTAGCTAAACCTCTCAGTGATACACTTTATTAAAAATGTACCGTGAACTCTACATTACAGCAAGACTTTACTTTTGATTACCAGGCACGAGTAACTCAAACGTGGACCGAGAACAATGTTCTGGATTTCACAAGAGCGGAAGACTGACCTTCGTCCAGTCTAGATCTGAACTCGTTGGACTACAAATTGTAGCAGTACTGTAGAATATATATGGCCTGCTCAAAACGTTACTCTAACACGGAGTCTCTCAAGAAATTTTTAAAGCTAACGGTGGCTAAATTCTTCATGAAACGTAACTCGAAAATTCGTGGCCAAAGAGACTCGCTAAGACTTTGGTAAATATGTACACATAAGTTTTATTGATAATACATTGTTTCCTTAACAAAAATAATATGTATCTTAATATGTAACAGAACATATGACCATACTAGATACAATCAGGCCTAAGTAATAAAGTGTTTACGTGAAATATTCGTCAGAACATTTAAAATTGTGCAACAACAACAATTTTTATAAATACAATGCACCATCGCATAAATCAGAAATTGAGCCCGAATTTACGACCATTAAATGCAACAAATACTTGTTTAACTTCTGTTTGTTCCTGAAACTTTTATTGCTCCTCTGTGATACCAATTTTGAGTACATCGAGTCCATAAAAAAGTACAAGGTGGAAAATTCTATACCTGAAAGCGCATATTAAAAGTATATCTGAACAGATGTTGGCATATCACGTGAATTGCGTCAAATGGGACCTACTTTGAAAGCGGCTAAACAAATATTGATGACGGAACGAAAATTGCTTGGGTTATTATTTAACAATACACGTACTATTTTGAAAGAGCTGTGTTATAATAAATAATCATTTTATTAATTGAACATACCTAGATGTAGAACTTGTATTCATGAACAAAATATTTAACATAATTTAATTAAAAATAGAAATCCAACACTTCATTACCTTTACTCCGTGAGTATCGTAAGAGGCGACTAGGGGGTAACAGCGAGAAGTCGTCATGGCCTCAAAAAGATGGCGTCATAGAATTGCTTACATACCAGATACAAGATACCCAGACTGGCGACGGGGAACACTATCAAAGGTACAATATCTCTGGTGCTGTGAGCACCTACAGCGTCGTCATGAATTTAAATCCTTCCTACAGTGGAAGAGGCTAACGTCCAGCAGTAGGCTGTAAGGGGTTGAAAAAGAAGAAGACTTAAATAGTGATAAACAATAAATTAATAAATATGTAATTAAAAACACTAAGCAACTAAGTTTTGTAGCTTTAAAATTGCTCTCTAATCACTACAAAGATGACAAATTTAAGAACAAGTTTACTTTTTTCTACATCAAACACATAATTATAAACTTTCTAAGGTTCTACATGTGGAGGAGACTGGCTTTCGAAGCCTCGTTCCGAAAGCAGATAACTTTAAGATATTTCGGTGAAAGTTGTTACCTCTTATAAGAGTGATCGATGCTCTCGGCACTCCTCGACAGCTGCTGCGAAGCGCGTCTAGACCTGCATGCAACAGAGATAACGAGCTAGATACAGGCAATGCATGCAAACATCTAAATAATCTTACTCAGACAATTTCGCTGTTACGCTCTGTAAACGATAGTGTCCAGAAAATTTCAATTATTATGCTAAAGGAAATGAGACAAAATGACACTGTTGGTGTACCGGCGCATTTAAAATTATGTGAGTAAGATATGAAATATGAGCGGTTTCGCACTGCTAATGTAAGACATGCGTCAAATTTTCAATACTCAAATCGTAATTAAACAAACAGATGTACGGATGCGAAAACACTCATAAATATTATAGCCGGCAATACAAATTACAACTAGGTGATAAAACAAAATAAAATAAAACGCATATATAAAAAAAAAAAACATTTTATACATATATTGCGGGTCAATGGTAAATGACAGCATATCGAACATGCACATAGCGACTAAAGTGAAGATACAGTGAACGGTCGGTACGCGAGGCAACTTTCACGTGGAACAATGTGCTTCGTTCTCACTGTGCATAATGATGTTCATTTGAAAGCTCTGTCTGGAGTAGTGAAATACAACCTTCGCAATGAACTTGCTCTCCATAAATACTGTATAATGGCTCATAGCTTTAGCATACAGTCTTTACTAATTAGTGATGCAGACGCGACTATAAAAACTTGTTTAGGATTTTGCTTTTATAATGACATTTTCTTTTTAAGTGATAATATTCTAAATGATTGAAGTTGGTAGATTGCTAAAATAATAAAATATATTTCAATAATACATGTTTAATATCTATAGGTATTCGGTTTTTAATTAAAATTTAAACGAACTTAGTATTAACGTAGCGTTTATAACAGTGGTTTCTATTATTTTTTCCGGCGTACAACTTTAACAATGTGTGAAAGCTCGCGTACCCCTTATAGCCGAAAGGGGAATGCCCAATTCTGGCCATGAAACGTCCAACAATTTGCATTTGTTAAAAAAAATACATCTTTTTTATGGTAGTTAATCGCGGTATTTATGTATCCAAAAAAAAGTACCGAAAAGAAAAAAATGAAATTAGGTAAATCCGCAAGTCATTAGTTTGTGGATAAAATAAAAAGTGTTGCCAATTACAAATCTCGGTAAAAAAGTCGATTCTGTTTTTTCAATCGATTTTTTATGGTGTCATTATTATAATGGTAATAATATTATTTTTCGATAATTATTACGATGTTATGATAATTAAACAAGCGAATTGCTAGTTGATTTACCATGAACTCTTTGGAACATAGCAAAAACGCTACTGCACAATTTAACTATTATTTTATCTTTTCCTAAAAATACCTACATTTAAAATGGAATTTAAATAAACAAAACAAAACATATTTTAAAAGGCGTGCAGAACTTAAAGCCAACCAAAGATTATTATTTTTTATGAAATATATAAATTGAATAAAAAAATCTAAAAATCTAAATCTATTTATCCATTTTACGTCTGTTAATTGGCAACAATGAATCTGACAGCTAGGTCCATGTCATAACTATCAAAACTAAATTGTCACAAGTCGAATTCCTTTGCATTTGTATTATTTTGTTTGTTTTCTCGCGGATTTGTGATCTAAGCAACGAATAAGCTTTCTAAATGGACTCCGATAATTCTTCTCAGCCTATTGACCATGGCCTGAAAAGGGATCCCGCTCCCACTTCTTACGATAACCTCTGCACGAACTTGGACTCGATATCCCCTATTAACGATTACCCCACCTTTCACACCGGCCAAAGTGTTCTTCCCAGCTCTCAGTAAATCATTCAAAAAGACATTTACGCTGTGTCAATTGTGGTTTAAATGTCACGAAAATACGAAGTCTTTTGTTGTTAAAAAACTGTTGTGAATATAAAAAAACCTTTATATCTTGAAAATCCGGACATTTTTAAACCAATTCCTTAACCATTTCATTATTTTAATTGCATATTATAATTTCCATATGCTTTTATATGTGGGCACCCATGGCCGAAGTGTCTATGAGCGGTGGGTTTTTCTATATTATAAAAATCAATTGATGTTCGTTAGTCTCGCAAAAACTCTAAAATCGCTGGACCGATTTTAATGAAATTCTGTATGTGTTTGAGTGGGTCCCTGGATGATCTAAACGATTCCAAATTTGACGCGGTAGGTGGCGCTGTTGTCGAGATCCAGAAATCAACCGTGCAATGCTTCTTTCTAGCTATTTTCTTCATTTATTAACTTCACAACAATTTTAATGGCAATGAAAATCCCGTTGGTTATTTTAGTTCTATTTTAATGTGCATCATTTTCTTTGCACAAATTATATAAATCTGGTTGTTTTGTGTGAGCTTTAGTTAAAATCATCTTCGAGTTAATATTGAATAGAACTTATAATTTTAGCGTAGTTTCTTAAAAAAAGGAATTGCCCTTACCCGTACCTTAATCGAGAGCGTATCTTTCCAGGAAACCTCATGTATCCCTGGGGGATAAAATGGTACGCGCATTACTAATTGGAAAGCACTGGTTTATAACATTCGATTACGTTATTTTATTTAGGCACGCGCTCGCAAGTCTTACGTAAATTCGCTTTTTTATTTAGGCATAAGAAAGGAACTATAAACTAAACGTATTTTTCATTATCTTAACAACCGACAAGAATAGTTAACAACCATCTTAAATGTCCTGTAATATGCCCATTTATCATTCTCTAATAGCGTTAACGGAGAAAAACGAATGATTGTTTACGCAATAAATGTCACATCTTCCAGCGACCTAATTTACGTGGTCGCCATTGTGTATCTAAAATTGTTTGCACTGGAGCAAATTAACGTCTAACAGTGTGATTGATAGTAGATAGTTAAGGCGAAAAGGAAAGATACACCAACGCTCAATTATAACTTACACAAGTTTAATAAAACTGTTGAAAACGATACTTAGTAATACATTTAATTTTATTGATTTGTTACAAAACTAACCGTAAAGCCGAAAGGAGGTTAAATGGGGCCTTATAACAAGTCCATTCACAATATTTAAGAATACGGTTCTTACGGTTACGCTGTATAACGTACCCCAAAAATAAAATTATTATTTTCACTGACGTGGAAACCCTATTTCAGTAAAATTAAGGAGTAAACTACGCAGAATAGACCTATATTTCTACCTAATTCGCGGAACGACAAAAATTTTAAAAGACCTAACCTAACGAAACAACCTAAACGAACACTTACTTTTTCATAATAAACGTCAAATTTACAGAAACGGCTCAAAGTGTGCTCCGCCTTGCTCAATACACAACCTCGCTCGTCGGGATATGGCTTGTGTGGCATTTCGCACCATCGTCGGTGTTATTGATGCGAAAACCGATCTCGAAAATATGCCGAAATACGCTCTGTCCTGCACATAACCCCACAAAAAGAAGTCCAAGGGTGTGAGGTCCAGAGAACGAGCAGGCCATAGCACCGGTCCCATCCTTGTATTGAGGTAGCAAACATTTATGAATTAAAAATAGAAAAACTATTAAAGTAGACAAGTATTAGGTAAAATAGGTACGTAGGCCTTTCTGTTAAATAATCTGGTTCCCTGACATGACAGCTTACTAGGATTGACAAAATTTTTGGCTTTGATAATTAATTATATTTTTACGGGGTATTTTGTAACACGTTGTATTGATAACAAGATAACACTAGAGAAATGCGATATGATTAATCATTCAAAATATTCCTTAATTCTGATGTGGATCATTTATCTTGCACAAATATAAATCCTTTATCAATTTCTATTAATTGGTCCCTTGATAGTTACTATGTAAGGTTATTCTAAAATTTAATACAAGATATATTTTGAAACCCATTCATAATTGAAACTAAATAATTTTAGATTAGATCATGGCCAATACAATTAATTTAAAACTTTCTTTTGGGAATAATACGAATACGAAACAATGTTAAAGTTCAAACAAACAGTGTGTTACGTTCGCATGACATGCAATAGGGGAGACCCGAGGGGAATTCAAACGGGATATGATTAAACCACTTTAAATTGAGCTACTACGAGCAATTACAGCCTAGACTCGTAAAACACTTTATGAATGTGAATATATCTGGTTAAGCCGGTTGGGCTTATCACTGCGAGAGTACGGTAGCGTCCTTGACACTTGGCTGTCGTGTGCATTGTGTAACTTGTTCACAGACACGACATGGCACATGGCCTATGCGTTGTAGGCATTTTCTATTATATCAAAGGCTAAAATATTTGTTTAGTATGGTGTATAATGTATAATATTATACTACAAATATTTTTAGTCAGAAAAATAACAGATAATAGTGCGCTTAGAATCAATATGCCCTTTATTTACTACCCTAAACATCATTAACAATACTATAAAATGAAAGGAAGTGTTTTGTTTTTATTAAACTTGGCTTAATGAACTGGAATAAAACAAAGGTATTAACTAAAAAAGTATTAACTTTTAATAAAGAGTAAAAGCGGACTTTAAACAACAAAAAGATTAAAATAATTTCACATAATTTTTATACGTGGTACAGCCACTCTGCAGCTATATTAATAGTATAGTTGTAGCATGAATGGGTCGGCTCGACCGGGGAAGGACCACACCTCACAGAATACCAGCGTAAAATAGCAGCTAAACGCTGCTGTTTCGTATGGTGAGTGTAGAGGACCGGAGACCCTTTTTGCTGGAAAAGAGGTATTCTATCTTAGTCCTCATGGCTGACAAGTGACAACGCATCTGCATTTTAATTCACAAACGAAGATAGATGTAGATGTCTATGGGTCACAGCAACCACTTACCATCAGGTGGACTGTGTGCTCGTTTGTCACCCTATCCTATAGAAAAAAGAACCATTACCCTATCTGATGAAACTGGAGTTGATATTAGCAGGTGGCTCAGGACCATTATTTGTAGCAATCTAAGAGAGAGACCTATGTCCAGCATGAAAAGAATAAAAAGTTCCATACCCTGAAGTACCACATCAGCAACAGAATTAGCAACAACGTTGGGATCGTCC